AGAGACAGAAAAAACAAATATTTACAGTAAATGCAGAGATGGCTTGAAAGTAGAAGTGAGGACTGAGATTGTGAAAATGATTAAAATGTGTATGACTCCACATTTTGAGAATCTTATGTCTTTCCTCTCAGACTGTGGACCTGCTGAGCCTTTTAGCTCAAATACTTTTAGCCCTGTGGAAAGAGTGAACTCTGACGCTCTGACACCAACTTCTCGGTCCAAACCTCATGTGAGCTCAGGATATCCTGACAAATCTTCAGCAAGTCTGGGAAACTTGACTCAGCAGCCTCAGAACCTGAAGGACACCAGGAGCAGAGGCTGCTCCAAGAGCAATGCTCCGAGGCAGGAGTGTCCATTCTGTAGCAAGGTATGATCAATCCCTCATTACTGCATATTTATTTGTTCACAACTCTGAAGAATTAAGACACAAGACACTGCTCCATGATTTATATAGAAAAGGTTTTAAGTGATTATTGCAGCTAAATATAAAGTACACTTGCAGTTAATGGGAAGTGATAGGTTTCATTTTTGCAGGTTATGTGGACATCAACCCAAGTATTGAACAAATTGAAAGTTTGACCTGAGGGTGGTGCTAGAGGGAAAGATAGGGGACAGATCGTTCTTAAGGAGAAGCAAGTTTGAGCAACACATTTCATGGCAATCCATCCAATAGTTGGTGAGGTGTTGCAGACCAACACTGTCATCCACCCCAAGGTCGTTCCAGGAGCATGGCTAAAAAACTAAAATGACATTTAGCAGTTTCCAAAGACAAAACTTTCAAAACATGATTTGAGTGTCATCATTAAATGTCTAAAACCTTAAGGTTCTGTAAACATTGCTGTCCACACTTGCACAAATTGTGTTGGGATTTACCAAAAGTACTGAACACAATGGGCAGAACATAACAACAAACACAGTGTGCAAGTTTCAAAAAGTGTTTGATACAAGAGGTGAGTGCTGTACAGAAACTAGTACAAGGCATTACTGACTAAATAACAAAGAAATCCAGGAAAGCAAACTGGGGGCGAAGAGGAATCCAGGGACAGATGCGTCACTGAAATGAGTCAGGGGGTTTCTAGAATAAGTTCAGATGTAAGGAGAGGAATCAAGGGAGTAGTGTGGCTGAGAGGAGGCTAAGGGCTTGAAAGGATCCTAAGGCAGAGGTGAAACAAAGCAAGTAAGGATCCAGGCAGGAGGCACCAATGGTAAGTATCTCAAACTAACAGTAGGAGAAGCAGAGGTTGGCCGTGTAGAAACCACTGAGGAAGATGACATTCTGGCAGAGAAGTAGTGTTCAGCCTAGTCCTTAAAGGTCCAGTGTGTAAGATTCACTCTTTCATTTCATCTAAATTATATGAACTGTAGTTTTCTTTACCCCAGAAAAGGCCCTTTATATTTAAATACTTTATATTTACATCGAGGGGGTCCTCTCTACGGAGGCAGCCATGTTTTTTACATTAGACCAGACTGGACAAACTAAACACCTTTAAAAAATTTTGACAACTAAAGGCTGCCACAGGTTCTTTTTCATGTTTGGAAGGAGAGAGTGAGGTGAGGGCTGTTCAGCTGCAACATGACACTTCAACACTAGATATCACAACTTTCTACAAGCTGTACCTTTACATTCTGAAGCAGGTCAGTGAGTATAGTCTGATGTGTGGTCACAGTGGTGTGGTGGGAGGAGACTGAACCAATGATCACGTCTCACCACACAAACAGGAAGGAAACACAGGAAGGAAACAGGGCAGAACAGCCGCAGTACAGCCAAAAAACAGGAAGCATTTTAAATTATTGTAGTGTAAAGGAATGTAATCTTTCTTTCCCAACCTTATCTTCTCCTGAAGTCTGCCATCATCTCTTTAGTTTTTCACCATTAAACTTGTGTTAATCTCCCTGCAGATATTTTCCTGTGTGTCCAGTCTGAAGACCCACGTATGCAGGAGTCTTGGAAGCGCAGCAAATCTGTCCGCAGCACACATCACGTCCAGTCGGACAGATACTGTGCAGTCCCCATGCAGGGGCAAGGTCAGCATCATCATTTCCACTTGTGCTGTATTTTCCTGTTTCATCTTCAGGCAATTTAATGCACGAATCAGTGGCAGATCTAGGATTTTTCTAAGTCAGGGGCCATAAAGGGCCACAATTTACACAGAGGGGCCACTTATATGTCTGACATCCATGCACAGGTCCTCATTCAGTAAGGCGCAAGTTTAAGTCATTTCTTGTTTACTGTTAGCTCTATAGCTTCAAGTAAAACCCCACAGCATTGAACATATTTTGAAAACTGCCCCTTTTTCAAAAAAAAAGTTTTGCAAATAAAGTTTAAACAAACTTTGATATTTATTGTTAATATTGTTTGTAAGTGACAGGACAGGGGTACTTCAGAGGCTAATCAGATTTCATAAGCCAGTGCCCCCCCCCCCGGCAAGTACAATGTGCAACATTTGTGAATCCATTACCACAGTGTCCGTTGTTCTAGGAGCGGACGTTTGGCTGTGCCGTGTGCGGGAAAGTGTTCAAGCGCTCCTCCACCCTCTCCACTCATCTGCTCATACACTCGGACACCCGGCCATATCCCTGCCTGTACTGTGGCAAGAGGTTCCACCAGAAGTCTGACTTGAAGAAACACACCTTCATTCACACCGGTGGGTTTATGTTTAACATGTCAAAGACCACAGCTGACATCATTTTATATAAAATGATTCAAGAGAAGTGCGGCTTCATTCTCTTTACATCACCAGTGCTTCCAGCGCATACACATAGCCCGACCCTGCATGTAAACATAATCAGCCACCGAAACAAATTGTTATTTCCTAAAATGTTGGAAACAATTCAAGTTGTTTCTAAACAAAACATTCAACACCCATCGGGTTGAGCCTCGCGGATGAAAGATATCCTCATGTCAATGTAGATTCCATATATTTGTGTTTCTAAATGTGCCATTTGGAAAAAAGTAACGGTATGTATAATATTAGTATAATACAAGTAACTGAACTACCAGTAAATAAGGTATGTCATTTAGCTGGCAAATTAGTAAACGTGAGATTTCTTAGAGGTAGATTGTAAAGTAGAGCCTCCTTCACTCACACAGGCACATCTAGGCCTCTTCAGTGATGCTCTCATAGCATCATTATAAGCAACTTCAACTTTCTATAAGCTTGCTATATGTAGTTTTTGATATCACGTGACACATCATACACAGAACTCTGTAGTAGGAAGCTGCTGAGACTACGCGTGACACAAAATCATCAGCATACATGCTCACAAGAGTATTTCTAATCATTCCAATACAACAAAGTTGAATTTAATCTAAAAATGCAGCCAGTATTGCTGGCTTTTAATAACTTGGACAGATCTGATGATCTATCGATAAATACATTTTAAAGAACTGGTTACAGAATTCCTCTCTGTCTAATACCATTGCTAGAAGCTGAAACTCTATGCTGCAGTTTGCTTGCACTGTCTGAAGGCCATTCCAAAGGTCGTATCATTTCATCAACTGCTCTGTAGTTTAAACATCCTGTGTATTCTTGTCCCAGGAGAGAAGCCCCATGTGTGTGAGATATGTGGGAAGGCGTTCAGCCAGAGCTCCAACCTCATCACCCACTGCCGCAAGCACAAGGACAACCGTCCCTACTGCTGCCCGCGCTGCCTCTACAGCTTCCAGCACAAAATAGAGCTGCGGCAGCACCAGGAGCTCCACTGCACCTACCACTGACTCAGTCAACGTCTCCAGCCTCCTCCAGTAAGCTGTGGGAGTGCCTTCGGGACAGAAAGCCACTGACTGTGTTGTATTATTGAAGTCAAATCTTTCATCCAAAAGTGATAGTAGTTTCTATTTTAGACTTCTTTTAGCTCACTGAGGAAAGAACAATGCTCTTCTTACCTTATTTCAGACAAAACTTGGTTAACTTACTTGTTCACTTGTAAAAAATGGAGTTGTGCTACTGTTCTCTTTTTATGTTTTACTATTTATGTAAAAGGTTGTTTATGGTTATTGGTGATTTTTTATTTTTTATTTAGCAGCAAATCAAGAGCTGAGAAAATGATGAATGTCAGCCACTGAATCTGAAGGCTTGGTGAATGGAAGTGAAAAGTATCACATTCATTATTACAGGAATTTCAGTTTTTCACACTTTCCCATAGTCAGACATTTAGGACAGACCTGTTTTATGTATTTGGTATCATATGAAGTCATGGCAAATCAACACTATAAAGCTATCTTGGCTGTATTGTTGAGTGTCTGGGATCAAATAGCACAATCATGATAGGCGTCCAGCAATTGAGCAGAATTAAGAAGGTCAAGTAAGGGAGTGGAAGGCTTATTTTTTTCGCGCTCCTATTGTCTGAGGAAGGGCCCAGAGACGATAGGAATAAGATAAGAGATTTCCAGTGAAATGCTGCGTCATGGTTCTTCTTCTCTGTATTCAGTGCTCATGTGAGAGCACAACTCTAAGGTTTACATGTAAGAGTTTTACTCTCTGCAGCCCAAACCTTGTAGAATTGAAGCTTTAACACAGACAGGCATTTGAAACAATAAATATCGAAATGATGTTAATTATTTAAATCAGCCGTTTCCAAACCACTGTACCCTGAGGGAGTGACCCACAGAGGAGGGGTCAGGAAAAGATTTCCATAATTCAAATACATATTAAAACAATCTAAAAAATTGTAGTGTCGGATGCAGCAGGTTGATTTATAGCATCATGTGATACAATGATACAAAATTTGCACAGAGATTTATACTTTACTGCCAAACAGCTCTAGTCTAGGGGTGACTGGTTCCTGAGTCTCTGATATCGTTATTTTGAGGGGGCGCTGGAAAGATTGGGAAACCCTGATCTAAATCCAGAATCCTGATCACTAACAAGGATTAACTCAATACACAGGCATTGTAGTTTCACTTTGCATCACGTTTATTTAGCTCAGGTTATGACACAGTACACACACTACGATGTTTCATTCCTGATTTGTAGGAGACTCATCAGCTTCAGCCGCTGTACCCATTGTCTCTGTACCACTGAGCTCTGGCTGTGACATCATTGGAGTAGTCTCGTCCTGTTGTGTTTTCATCCACTCCCTCATAGGAATGCACATTTTTATCCCCCATGTTGTAGGCTGCTATCCCTCCTGCAGGCACAAATATACATGAAAACAAAGTTAAACTAAGAGCGAAGTCAAAATACAATTACACAAATTCTGTGAAACAAACCTTTCAGCTGCTTCTCTTTGCTCCAGCCAGGAAACTTGGTTCTGATTCGCTCAATAAATGTAACCAAGATCCCAGTGGCTTGGCGGAGGTGATCCTCACTGTCCCATCCACCTACAGCAGTGTGTCCACCACCGTTGGGATTAACATCAACCTAGAAAAAAGGCATTATTGTATTGTAATATGAAGTTCTACTAGAAGGACGTGTGTAAAACCATAGTAGCTGTTATAACCTGCATCAGTCCCCAGGCGTTGTACGCCTGCCTCTGTGGGTTCCAGTCTCCCCAGCCGTCTTTCAGTTGATTTCCAGCCCTGGACTCTCTCGAGATGATGGCAGCAATGAGAGCCGGTTCGATTCCGTAGCTCTGTCCAACTTTATTGATTTTGCTCTTGTATTTACTCATTCTCCCACTGTCTATCTCTGCCATTTTGTGTGATGCTTTTACACCTTGGAGAGAGAAAGAAAAGACACTTGATTATTGCATTCAAGCAACAAAGGCACCTTTTGGCCTGTCGGTGCAATGATCTCTTTTTGCTCTTTTTTTTTAAATTGGTGATCGAATCAGTGATCAAATGTGTTTCTCCACTGCAGTGATTTACGTGAGTATCCCAGGTTGTCCTGCTGAGAAGTTGCCCTTGAAGCTCCACTGGTCTCAACCAAACGTATCTGTCCATAAGCTGCACAATGTGACAGTCACATATCAAACACATTGTCACAAAGGAGAGCAACAACAATGCACGTGAGGATACATAGCTACAAAACTAGAATTTAAAGATGCTTGTTTAATAACAATCAGTTGTATTTAGGTGAAGTAGTAATATTTCTATCTAAGGAAGTTAAATGAGCAGGTAAACAACTCACACATTGTTCTTGTTTCTCCTCTGATGGTCCTGTTGATGCTGGAAGGTGGCAGGTTTGGTACAGTCTGTTCTGTCTGTCGGGTTGAACCAGCAGAGCAGCTCTATTTATATGTTTCTGTTTACTTTCAGTTTCACTGCTTAACTTTACTGCAGTTCTGTATTTCATATACAGGAGGTTGCTGAGCTCACAGTGAGGCGAGAGCAGCTGATTTCTAGGAAATGGGCTCCACTGACAGTAACAACCATTTTTTTCTGCTCAGTCTGCAGTATGGAAGTATTACAAGTACAATAAGTTCTTATATGCTCAGAAGTTCTAGGGTCTTAGAATCAAAATTGTAATAATATATTGAATCTTATTTGAAGATTACTTCAGGACAGACAGACTCACACAAATGAATTTCATGATCAAGTTCGGCACAAGTCCTGTCCTTTATTTTGTTCTGTTCTGTCAGTTTTATATAATTAAATAACTAATCTTGTAGTGATTTCACAAACGTCCGTCTGTAAGTGGAACAAATATCTTGCTAACTGTTCAACTTATCGACTTTACATTTGGCAAGTGTGTCATCATTAAGAGCATCTTAAGCTCTTACACAAGGATCTGGCTGAGACAAGAGGATATTTCTCTGGAGCTGAATTTTAGAAGTATGAGAAAATAGTCCTAATCACATAATGATCTGAGCTCAGTTATGTCCGTGAGAAAAGTGCAAAGCAAAGAGGAGACATTATTTTGAAATGTTCCTCTCCTCTTTAATGGTCTACAGCCTCATGTTTCAGGTCAGAATTCAGGCCCAGCAGTTAATGCCTCTTCCAGAAAGCACAGGATGCATGGTGCATGCCGTTCATCAGGAAACTCCCTGTTATTTCAGGCAAGTCAGGATAATTATACCTCACTCCGAACTACAGTACGGTTAAATATAGACGACACATCTCCACCTTCTCCCACCATCAGGAAATGAGGTGATCATTTCCCAGATTCGAATACTGTCATCTCGTTCAGTGAGAGCAAGAGCAAGAGCCTGTGCAGTAGTGAGTAATGTTGATAGACATGCTCAACCAATCAGTGTGTGTGTCTGATGTGTGATAGACAAACTTCTCCTCACAGATGTTCTGTAATGTGTATTCAAGTGGTCATCAAGACTAGAAAAGTGTTATATCATGTCAGACTATTTACCACCGGCTCATTTTTATTCCTCCATAGACATTATGTTATTCACAAAATTATTCACTATATTACTATAGTACTGTTCACTATATTACTCATATATTATGTTATATCATGTTATTGGTCAGATACTGAAAACTGCAGCAAACATGTTTCAGTACTGTCACTTCTTTCACATTCACTCTGAGTGTAATTTAATTGTAAACATGGGAGTTTTTTGAAATTCAGACCTCAGAAGAGATGCCTCGATCTTACACTTTCATTATTGTTAGGTTCAAAGGTTTTATTGTCATCTGCACAACAAATACAGCGTTCAAGTGTCATAAAATAAAATAGATAAGAGTAACTAAAAATACAATAACATACACTAGTGCAAATGTCAGTACTAGTGCAAAAAAAAAGTTAAGTAAGTATGTTATGAGTTGATGTGGGGGTTGGTAATGACATTATACAATATAATTATTGTTAATATCCCATTACGCACACAAGAGGCACAGCGGTACACAGAGGTGTATCTAACAGGTATAAAATAAGATCTATTTTGTCTTCAGCACTTGAGAAAGAAACATTTCTAACATGCAGGAAACAGGAACAGACGTAGACAAGCAGAACCAGAGGGGACACAAGACAATAGGGTGTGAGTCTATGGGTTTGGCCTGAAATACAAAGTATAAGAGGTAAGGATGTGAAACACGCCAGGCTGAATTTTAGGGAGCTGTGAAGGACATTAGAATATTTCTATTAGACAGAACAGTACATATCTACAAAAATTACCGAGCCCTCACTTTCTTTCTTTTACACCATGTTGACATATATCAAACAAATCATATGATCTTTGTCTTTAGCTGGAGCCACAGGCTGTTTGTGTCATAAAGTTGGCCTCTCTTGTTAAACCATGTGGTTTTATTTTCTGAGGCTGTACCCCAGTATTTCATCCACTGCGTCCTCCCATGTTACAGTGAACTCTGCAGAGTAAACAGGTTCTTTCAGTATCTGTGTGTAAGGTAGCCTGGGTTAGCTATAGGCTAAAATATTGTGTAACATTTATGTCTGTTTGCGTTTTGATGGTTGTTGGTAAACTGATTCTGATTCAGTGGAACAAATTGTAAAAAAATGTATCATGCACTTTTATTGACAGCCAGTCCTGTTTGATGAAAGGTTCAAATGACCAAAACAATCTCATTTATTACATGTGACAGACTCTTTATTGTTTCAAGGAGAAAAAAGATGATTTTACATGAATATGTCCCTCATAATTCAGGATATTTATCAACTTAAAACCTCCAGTTTGCAGTATATCAGAAATCCATCTATTTATGTTTTGTTTGCTTAGGGAAAAACACATATATGTCTCATAATACTCACCATGATTCAAAAACTCAAAGCTTTAAAGGTACAGTGTGTAGAATTTTGTGATACCTAGTGTTGAAATTGCATGTTGCACCTCACCCTCTCCTTCCAAACATGAAAAAGAAACTGTGGTAGCCTTTACTTGTCATAAAAACTCAAAAGATGTTTAGTTGGTCCAGTCTGGACTGTAAAAAACATGGCGGCCTCCGTAGAGAGGGTCCCCTCGATGTAAATATAAAGTATTTAAATATAAAGGGCCTTTTCTGGGCTAAAGAAAACTACAATTCATACAATTTAGATGAAATGAACTAGTGAAAACATCATGAGAATTATTCTACATTAAAGTTCTGCCAATAGTTCCCTTTCACCTAAATCTTACACACTGGACCTTTAAATAGTGATCCGTCTAACAAGGTAAATAACAGCTGTTGAATCAAGACGTTCACCCCATCTAACATCCTTAGGATCTCTGTACATTCAAGTGAGTTGGATGTTAATTCATCTCAGACCTGAGCTCAGTGCCTTAGTCTCTCTATTATATCATCGGTGCCCCACATTTGAGGTGTGACCAGGGAGATCCATTTGATTTTAATTAATCCTGCACTGGAATAGATGGCTCTCAACTCATCTACATACAAATTATAAATTAGTCCAAAGTTTGGAGGATTGAATGTCCATTTCATGTAGTGAAACAATTTCAAAACTTAACCAAATCAAACAGTTCCTTCCCTGAAGAAGCATTGATGATGTGTAAGGCGACTCATGTGGCAGTGGGACTCCTGTCAGAACCTGAAGTGTTCCCAGCTTCTTATTTCAGAGAAGAAGGCATCTCCAGGACAGGAAGTGTTTACCACCTGCCTGTGGCCATGGATGGTGAAGTTGGCAGACAATCCTCCTCCATTTACTGCACAATGGACCAGACGATGACGCAATAGGTCCATGGCGTGGCGAGAGGGAAGGGTGGCGGTGTAGTTACCAATGATTGACACTCCATACCCGAGGCTATTGTGGCCCCTGGTGTGTGTGCCGAGGTATTTCCAACCTCTTCCTTCATATACGTAGCCGTCAGAGCCCACCACAAAGCTGAGGGCACAGAGACAGAGCAGCAAAAAACAAATACAAACACAAAACATTAAACTCAGCAACATTAATGCACAAAAAATGATGTTACAAATAAAGTCATGCACATTTAAAGTACAATATATTTTCAAAAATGACAACATGCATAGGTGCACGAATGTAAGTTAATCAGCAGCATTAGAGTTAAATCAGACTTTTTTTTCCCCCTGTCTCCAGTTTTTATTGTAAGCTGGAGTAATTGCCTCCTATCTTCAGATGTATGTAATCAACCTACCATCCTACCTGCCTACCAACCAACCTATTATTACTAACTTACCTATCTACCTACCAACCTATTATTACGAACTTACCTATCTACCTACCTACCTATTATTACTAACTTACTTACCTACCTACCAACCTATTATTACTTACCTGCCTACTAACCAAATAACTCACCAACCAACCAGCCTGTCTACCCACCTACCTATTATTACTAACTTACCTACCTACCTACCTACCTATTATTACTTACCTGCCTACCAACCAAATAACTCACCAACCAACCAACCAACCAGCCTGTCTACCTACCTACCTACAAACATATTATTACTAACTTACCTGCCTACCTATTTACCTACCAACCAACCAATCAGCCTGTCTTCCTACCTACCAACCAAACTATAATTACTTACCTGCCTACCAACCAAATAGCCAACCAACCAGCATGTCTACCTGCCTACCTACCAACTTAACTACCTACCTACCTACCTACTGACTTACCTACCTGTCTACCAACAAAATAACCAACCAACCAACCTAACTACTGACCTACTTACAAACCTAACTACCTACCAATCAATCACTCAGCTATGTATAGTTTTGGGTTACTTGTATCCGATGTCGCTCCAGCCACGGTCCTCCTGGTGGAACCTCTGCATGGCTCTCATGTCACGAGAGCACTGTGGGAAGGACATACAGGGTGAGGATGGCTCGTAGGTGTGGTGCACATACAGGAAGTGAAGGGGCAAAGACAGTGGGATGGGGGTATCCTGGAGGGATTTTGCCCCCCACTGACAACGACGAATGATTTGAGGGCAGTCTGAGGAGAGGAGAGAGGATGAGGGTTAAGACACTGCTGACCTCTGGTGGTTTATTTTGGTATTTTGCCACAGATAGAAGTGTTGTTCTGGGTGTCATACTACAAACTGAGGTAGTTTTTATGCCTGTTAAGGGGATGATAATCAAAAAGTTTTATTACATATTTTTGTGTCAAAAAGAAAAAAAAAGCATCAACAAATGTTTTCTTTTTGACTCAATCAGTTTGAAATTGTAGGAGGCTAAAATATCCAGCCACCATAGTCAATGAAAATACAGCTTTGAATACCAAATACAATCTTACATTTAGTTCTTTAACTATTCTATGGACAGCTGCATAAATTAATCGATTAGGTAATTGAGGGGATTATTCAGCAATAATATAGATTATTAAATAAATCCACAGGCTCCAACTTCTAGAATACTTTTCTGATCACTAACCCCAGTATATGTGCACAAATGCCTTCAATCCATCCTTCACCGCTTGCCCCACTCCAGTGTCCCAGGCAATCCATTCTGTCTTCTCCAGCTTCCAGACCAATGCCAGTGTCTCCATCACCTGGCTGTGTAAATCAAGTGGTTCCAGAAAGGCTCTAGATATCTCCCGTCGCTTCGGGCTAATGTGGCTGGTCACAGCATCAAGGCCCTGCCCCTCATGCAAAGTAAAACTATAGTATCCTTTCAAGATCTTACTGAGGGCTTTTGGCTTTTCAGATTCACTTTGATTGCTGAGGTTCATGCCCAGTACAACTCCATCCATGCCACCATTAATCATAGCATCAGTGGCCAGAGTGGGAAGCCGAGACAGACTGAACACCTTAGGGTGCTCCACATTGTCCCAGCACCCACTTGGCCCCATGCGATAACGTGGTGGGAAGTCCTGGAGGCTGAGGAAGGACAGGCCCAGTGTCCTGGCCAAGGTAAGAGGGAAGATGCCATTAGCTGGCTTCCCCTCAATCTTTGCCCTCAGTCCTGACTCGATTCCCAGCAGTAATGGTGCAAGTGCCACTGTGGTGCCATCTGGAGCAAGAACCACCCCACGTTCCTCTCCATAGTCTGTCACAATATGATGGATGGCCTTATCAAAAAAGCTGAAGCGCGAGGCATTAAGCATTGTTGTCTCAAGGACTTCAGCATCACTGAGATTATTTGACGCACCCAGGAAATGGATTGTCATTGCATCATCATGGCCAGCAGTCCTCCGCAGGGCCCTGACCAGAGCCAGAGGGGACATGCCAGGGTCAGAGTCCTCAACTTGCTGCACAGCGCGGATGAAACTGTCCATGTTCCGTAAGTGGACACCTGATAAGAAGGTAACAGTGTACAATCATGAACCAGTGAACAAACTGTTTAGTTCTTTCAAATAGCAGTCATACTGTGGCCCTTTCTTAATGGAATGGAATTGTAAAATTAAATGTAAGAAAATGTCAAACTGAATCCCAGAATGGGTTGTATAAAGAAGAAAACAAAATAAGAAAGGCCCCTCAAATGTCTTTGGCACAGTTGACACAGATTTTCTATTATTTGTTTCTTTTGTTATTATCTGCTGTCTTT